GAGATGTGAGACTGAAATTAACTAAATGTATATAATGAAGATCAGATTTAATTGTTGTTAATATAAACTTACAAAGCTCATGAAACATGTTGAATGTTCCGTTTGAGGTGAGTTACTTAGATTTTTTTTCTTTTGATAAATCAATTTAATTTTGATATTTCAATCAGGATTCACTACAATCGGGAACCTGTAAGTGACTCATGTTGACGGAATACTCAACATATTAATTACACATATGTATTGCTGAGGAGGACTCGAAAGTGAGTCGAAACGTTCAATAAAGAGGATTCTACACATTAATGATTAATTAAGATTGAAATTAATCGTTGGCACCTTCATCAGCCCGTGACTCGTATGACCTTTACGGATTGTGTTATTATTATTTTTATTAAATATAAAGATATTTATTTTGTATACAAGAATCATTAATTTAATTTAACTATCACTTTTTTATTAAGAAAATATTTAATTATTATAAGTAAATGCTTAGTTGGCTATTCAAATAAATATTTATTAAAATTTAGTATATTTTTCCGAGATTTTTGTAGTGTATTGTATTATTATACTAACAATTCAGTAGAAAGAGAGAGAGAAGCGTATATTTTTATTTTAAACGCCCTAGGATACGATATCCTTTCAAACACACAAAATGATATATTATAGATATGAAGACATTAATATGGCAGTAAATGTTTAAAATTTAAATAATCAAGAAGATTGAAACATGACATAAAGAAATAAGAAAAATGTATATACATATATATAAGCATACAAGTAAAAGTATTCGCATCATTTAGAAGTGTTTTCCTAAAATACTGAGAGAGAGAGAGAGAGAGAGAGGGGGGATATGTAAATGAATGCATTTTTAATAAAAGAATAAGGATCTCAAAATTTAAAACAATAAATAGGAAAGAGGGCTATTGAGAGTCAGGCGCGGTACACAATACAATTATTATTGTGTATATATTATTGTGTATAAATATATAACAAACGTTCATTTAAATCACAATAAAATTGATGTAGAGTTTATTACAATTAATTTACTTCATTTCGTCTTACATCAACAGCTGTTTATCTTTTTACGATAAATGTAACGTATTATGTAACAGATTACACGCCGCGCACGTGTTGCATCGGTTGCGTTGACTAGAATTCATCGATCGACTCGTTCAAAGAGTGAGGGAAAAAAGAGGAGAGGGAGGAGAGAGGATGGGAGAAGAAGGAAAGATTCCTTTTAAAGTAATATTAAGATATTAAATATGATTGGAAATTTAAAGAGAAAAAAGACGTGAAATCTGATGACACGACACTTCTCATTGACGGGATGACAAGTGTTACAGCTTAATGACCGACATCTGTTCGCTGAACGCGTACACCGAAAAAAGTAATTGATGAGATCGGATTATGTATTCAAACGGATTTGTTTGCGCTCGCAAAGAGCACTCGTTCCTCTTGTGTGCGTTACGTAAAAACACAACCGGCGATTAATATCGTGCGTCTGATCACAAGGTGATCATCCATACTCGGCGGTGTTAAAAATAAATGCTAAAAAAACGTCGATAGGCAGAATCCTACAGTGCGGGTTTTAAAGTGCTACTTAAAGATCTACAATAGGGTTTTAAGCCTTAAGCCATAAGAAATGGGCGAATCACAATCGATTATTCCCCTCGGATTCGACTATAATTGGTCAGTTTCTTACGGCTTAAGTCTTAAAACACCTATTGTTGATTCGGACTTAAGGATATCAACTATCTAAATTCTTTGGAGTGGGATCTCATTGCGAATTCGATTGGACGCATTCAGTGCGCACTGGTGCATATTAAAGTCATCTACACAAATTGATGTAAAAATATGTGTTTAATATATACTGTCTAAATTCTTTAAAATGGAATCTCACTTTAAAGAGTGAGAATTGAGCCAGTTTTGAAAAAGAGTGGCTCAATTTTCAATCTTTAAGATCGGTACCCGTAGTCGATTCTTATATTTGAGACTTAAGTACAGTCTTAAGATGTCATAAGCCAGTCAGAGGGCTGTATTAACATCTTAAGACATTACTTAAGATGGTCTTAAAGTAAGAACGGACTATGAATACCACCCTAAAAGTGAGATTTTACTCCCCAGAGTGAGATTCACTCCAAAAGTTTTAGAGAGAAAATTCAGCGCTTTATATTAATATTACAATACATCGTAAATGTTCTGTTGCAGATAACAACAGGCGACTGTTTGCTCATCGATCGACGTGGTATTGTCCTGCGAATCTCAAAGAGCACTCGCGGTTATTGCATTCCCGAGTCTCTCGCCATTTCCGAGGGTTACCTCTGTCGTTATTTGTCAGAGTAGCTAAAACGATTCTCGTGTCGTCGAAGAGTTAACAACGGGAGCGAAATTCGCATCGGAA